GCTGTTGGCCTGACATTCTGTTGGATGTCTGATGCGATGACTCTATTCTTTTTCCAGTGGTAGATCATTCTTATTTCAGCCGCCAACTACTCTTGTTCTGTGCAGAGAGCTTTCTTCATTCAAGTCTTATTCTCAGAAACTTATTTCATCCTTAAACTTTTCAGTTTCCTCCCATTTCTGATTACTTCTTCTGTAGGCTAGTATTCTTCAAAGGTTACTCCAGTTTTTCATATTCCTTTTCAGCAGGGCTAAGCCTGTCAAGGAGTTCACATATTTTTCTGAATCAATGTCAGCAAGCTCCAGGGCAAGGATTTTTCATCCTTTTTCATAAAAAGCTGGCTCTACTTCAATCTAAATTTTCTGAATATGAGACTTGTGAAAAGTGTGACTTGAGCTCCCACAAGAAGCTGCAGAAGTGGAAGTTCAGGCAGGTCTTTAGGCAGCGTGGCCCCTGCCTTGCACAGCTTGCTGGAGATTAGCCTGAAGCAAGGCTCCACAGAGGTTCACAGCCCCTCCACAGCATCAAGACCCCCCCCCAACTCCACCGTCAGCAGCAACAGCTCTGCCAGGGGCAGTGCCTGCAGCGTGCACTCCATAGGGCTGCATTGGAACCCAAAACCCCCACCTGGCCATTGAGAGAGGGGAAGACAGGTACATGCTCCACAACTGTCCAGTGAATTCTCTTTTCACTTCCTTTTTTTTTTTTTTTTAACTTTTTAATTGGGAAAAACTTCAAATAAGAAAGAGTAGAAATATTAGCATAATGATCATCCATTTACCCACCACCCAGACTCAACATTGTTAATATTTTACATTATAAAACCCTTCTTACCTCTTATTCTTTAATTTCTTTGGAGGAACCAGTAACAAACCATAGACTTAAATAAGCAATAGGTTTCCTGATAGTTTAGTATGCACTTTCAAAAAATAAGGACATCCTGTTACATAACTGTATACCCTTATAATACCTACTTTACAGATGGGGAAATTAATTGATGCCTGAAATCATTGAGGAAGGTGGGAAACTAACGCTTTCGCATATTTAGCTGTTCAGGTCTGTGGGGCAAGGTGTTGGATAGCCCTGAGACCTGGGGAGGCACTCCTTAGGTAGTAGCTCTAAGGAAGCTCACCGAACTCCAGGGACTTACATAAAAAATTTAAATTACTTTAAGAGGAAGTAATATACCATTAAAAAGTGAAAAGACAAGCTGAAGTAACATATACAATTTATATAGTACAAATGGAAGGTTAATATTCTTAGTATATAAAGAGCTCTTCTAAATCAATAAAAAGCTCAACATATTTTAAATAGAAGGGATATTTTAGTAGTCATCCCTTGCTTTGCCAGCCTAGAATCTTTCCCTTCTGTAAACTTTTCCTTTGGGTAAATACCCTTTGCTACCAGATGGAATTGTCAATAACATGGTTCTACCTTCCCTAACTCAAGAATTAGCATGTGACCAATCAGACTACCTCAACCTTTAAACACACTGATTAGTCCAAGGGGTTGGCAGGTTCCCAATGAGCCAAATTTATTTATTTATTTATTTATTTATTTATTTATTTATTTATCTGCACATGATGTTGTATATGCTATAAAATAAAAGGCATTCCAATGTTTTTTATGGTTTTTTGTGTGTGTATGTGTGTGTGTGTGTGTGTGTGTTTGTGTGTGTGTGTGTGTGTTTGCAGGAGTCACTAGCTGTGAGTTCAGTGTCTGTCTGGAGCCATTTTAATGCTACATGGGGGAAAGCTTGGCTTAAAAAACAGACCTTTGTGGAGGGAGGGGAGGGAAGGGAAAAGGTGAGGGGAGAGGAAGAAGAGTTAGGGTATAGAATGTTCAATATCTACCTAAGCCACCGCACTGACTTGCCCTGGCCAGTCATATAGGGGACAAACTCTGAGTGTGTGGGTTAGAGGCAGGAAATAACCACACATTATTAGGCCCCCAAGGTTGTTGTGTGGCTGTGGCATCTTACAAGGATAAAATCATTGGCACTTTTAGTAAAGCCCACATCTGGGTCAAAACTAACAGTGGGGTGAAAAACCACTTACTAATTATCAACAAAGTGAATCTTCTTGTACATTTGGGAGACGTTAGTTTTGAAACATAAGAGGTGGGAAAGACCTCAAAAGTCACCTTGTCCAACTCCCACATTTTGCTGTAGAAGGTCCAGAAAGGGAACCCTGGTACTGGAGGTCACACAGCTCATGCCTGAGATTTCACCAGATCCAGAGGTATTGGCCCCCTTGTTGGTGGGAACCTGTTTCCCTCAGAGCAGCCTATCTAATACCAGTTGGATGATTACACTCACTTTATCTTCTGCCTTGTGAGTTTTATCTGGTGGATGTTCATGTCCTGCTTTGTTACCATCTCCCTGACATCCTCTTGGCTGCAGGCCCACCCTTCGTGCTGATGTGTGTTCAGATAAGCGAGCTCATTTTAATACAAACATAAGCATGTAGTGATTTCAAAGCTGATTTGGCTAATTTATGCCATTGTTCCACTTCATTAAAATGAATCATCAGCATGGACCGCCTGTGTACACTCATTGCAATGAAATCCTCTTGGCAGTCTCTGACCCATGAAACCGGAGAGGACATTTATGGCAGACCAGCTCTTCCCAGAGTTTTGTGCATCTTCCCCACTCAACTGTCAGCCAAATTTCTTTGCTGGTTTGTGTCTTTTCTGATTGCTTTATCCAATAGTTTATCTTTAGGGTCTTCTTCTTATGGGGTGGCCATTTTTGGTCACCAAAGCAGCTGGTAAATACAGTAAAAGAAGTGAACTGATTCTGAAGAAGAGAGTAGAGGGGATCTCTGGAGAGAAACAGCACTATTTAGAGGATTGATCTAAGACACACAGCTCAATGCAAAAACAGTCTTTTTCGATTATCTTTTTAAAGGCATATGTCATGAATGTAGGATGCATTGGATGTAGTCATTATTTCCTGAAGTGATGAATGAAAAAATAAATGAATCAATAAAACAGAAGCCCTTCTTACCGCTTAGTTTCACCTCTGCTCTGCAGATCTGTGTCTGCCTCTTGAGGCTAAATTTAATCAGTTCTCACCTTATTTAACTCAAGTGGTGTTTGACAAGTTGATCACTCCCTTCTCCTTGACAAGTATTCTCTTGACTTCAAGGATGCCACTATCTTATTAGTTGTTGCTTTTGATTCATTGGCTGATTCTTTTTCACATTCCCAACCTCCACTCTTTTTAGTGATCCAGGGCTCAGTCTTTAATCCTTTTCTCTTTTTTAATAGACACTATTCCCTTGCTGATTTCATCAAGGTCCATGACAGCTGACTCCTCCAGTCACTTCTATAGCCTGGCTCTCTCCTCTGGCCTCTCTCCTCTCGATCTGTTTATCCAACTACCTACTTATATTCCCAATTTAGTGTATGAACTTAACATGCCTATCAGTGAGCTCCTCATCTCTGCTCCCTACATCTCTCCTCCTGCCATCTTCCTATTTCAGCTAATGGCCACTCCATTCCCCCCATTGTTCAGATCCGTGGAGTCAACCTTGTCCTCATTACTCAGTTAAAGACAACATTCTATGATAGATAGAGCCTGGTGGAGCCACACGATAAAAGGAACCTGAATTCCTGAGTGGACCAGAGCTGCCCAGCAAAGCTGGACTACCTACCTCTGAAATGTTACATGATGAGAAAGAAGTCCTAACTCATATAAACCTGGACTGAATCTAAGGCACATAGCTTGGAGTTCTTCGCCACAGCAGCTTACTTAGCCTGTGCCCCAACACAGGAGGTGAGGAACCAGAAGTTGTGAATATAGAGGTCTGAGTATATGAGAAAAAGATAAAGAAATAAGACTATTGCTGGGATGTTTTATTGAAAAGATTGTGAGAACACTTGCCTCGAGAGTAAACTGCCAAAATACAATCAGTTCACTGAGATACAAGCCTTGCTCTGAAACAGTACATTTGCAGACTGTTCTCCAGAGAATGGGGAGTCCCAAAGGACTTTGAGGGTGGAGAGGGAGTTGGGAGCAGTTAACTGAGCCCTGTTTTAAAACCATTTCTTCTTGTTGAGATAATATACGCTGTACCTTTTTAAGTAATGGCACTGATGACCCAAGAGGAAGAAGCACAGGTTGAGGTCTTTAATTCTTAAATGGGTGAGATTTTTGTACTGAACCATCCATGCACATAATTCCCTCTTATAACAAAAACCATTACTCTGGCCAGGGGTAATGAGAATAATAAAAGGAAATAAAATATCAATAACTCTCAGTAATCCAGCACCTAAAATATATCCTGGCCTATATAGGTGCTGCCTAGAAAACAGATCTTATCACTTATAGAATTAACCTAACACTTATACTGCTAGTGATGTCCTAAATTTTTCCCTGCTAATCTGAATCAGTGTATGGTTTGGTCTCATATGGATCTGAGTTTGCCAGCTTGCATTTCACTGGTCATTTTTTCCTATTGAGACACATTAACAAAAACTAAAGTAAGCAGGAATTTTTGACTCACATGTCAAAAGCTAAAGAAGGCTACAGCTTAAAAAATGGGTCTTTATTAAAGGCAAACATAAATCTATTCTCAATACATATCTCAGAATTCAATGGTTTGGCTCCAAAAGGTTTAATACAAGAGCAGCTTGAACAGTAAAGTTCTGAAAATCGATAAGCTTAATAATCAAAGTAAAATTTATATTGGATTTTGGAGCAAATAAAATATTCTAAATGATCACTGCATGGAGCCCAGTGAAGAATCCCCCACACTTCCTGGAATGGCAAGGGTACGTCATCTTTAGAGGCTCAATGCCATCAAGGTCTTGGCAATGGACTTTGTTGGTCTTGGGATGGGACATCAGCAGCCTAGGAGGCACGATATATACCAAAGTTTAGAAGTTATATCTAGGTTCTCAGTTAGTATATATTTTCAGCCTGGCTATGAAGATAGAGAAAGATGAAGGGGCAAAAGAAAGTGTAGGACTGGTGGTTGAAGAGATGGGTAAAAACGAGCCATGAGCCCTAACCAGTTTGGCTCAGTGGATAGTGTTAGCCTGCGTACTCAAGGGTCCTAAGTTCAATTCAGGTCAAGGGCATGTACCTTGGTTGTGGGCACATACCCAGTAGGGAGTGTGCAAGAGGCAGTTGAACGATGTTTCCCTCTCATTGATGTTTCTAACTCTCTATTCCTCACCCTTCTTACTTGTAAAAATAATCAATAAAATATAAAATAAAATTAAAAACTAGCTATGAGGTGACACAACTTCTGGATATATATCTTCAGATGTTTGTGGATTTTTTCCCCACCAAATTTAACCACACCATCCATGAGCATATATGAGATAAGTCTTCTTGAGACCATTATATTCGAATTAAACTGGAACACAGTTTAGATTAGAGACAGATAGAGAGCAGATGACCCACCTAAGGCCAGGTGAAGCCACAACCACAGCCTCATATACAAAAGTGGAAGATGGTGCAGGAGGATCCATTTCTGCAATTGCTCCATCTACCCACGTGAGAGAGGCCTCTTTCCAGTCCCAAATTGACTTGTAGAAATATCCAAAATCATAGGTGAGTATTTCACTAAAGGAGATAGAGAATTCCATTCGTGATCCCAAAGACTAACCTTGGCCTTGGTGCAGCAATACATTCTATAAAGAGGGAACATTTATGTGGATAATTCAGATCACTTCCCAGGACCAAGGGGAAGCCCATATCTGATCCCAAGTTGACTTCAAGTATAATTATTAGAATTCCATAGTTCTCAAATGTTTTGCTCACCATCTACAGTAAAAAACACATTCAGCCTTGCATTTTTGTTCTTATACTAGTACTCATATCTTTGTATATATTTAACTGAATTACATTTTTCTTTCAACAATACTTTTTATTACCATGTGTGACACACTTGATACTTTCTATTCTATTCTATTCTATTCTATTCTATTCTATTCTATTCTATTCTATTCTACTCTACTCTATTCTATTCTATTCTATTCCATTCTATTCTAAAATGTCTGGTAATTGATTTTACAAAGTACTAATGGTGTAGTGACATGCTTAATAATTGATTTTACAAAGTACTAATGATGTAGTGACATGCAGTTTTAAAAACTATTTTTAATTACTAGAGTGGAGAGATTCCTATGTCAATCCACAGTTGAAACAAAAGATTCCTATTTCTTTATATACTTAGCTTCCTCTTCTTTAAAATTTATAAAGTAGCCACTCTTTTTTGTGTGTGAAATATTGAAGTATTTATCCTATATATAACCCAGCAGCTTTCAGCAGCCTTATGTCTGGAAGTCTCAGACCCAGATCTTCCCACCCAGTTCTGCAGAAGGAGGACTCAGAAAAGAGATGAGGAAAAGGGAGCAGTATCAAGAATGTGGGGCCAGGCTGGAGATGGGGACAGAAACAGGGCCTCAAGATTGGGAAGAGGTTCAAAGTTCATTTGTTAGAAGGTTCTAAGAAGGAGGATGGAAGAAGGAGAAGAAACATCAGAAAGAACCTGCCACCTTCTACCACCTGTCTTTTGACTCTCCAACCCTAGCAACCTGATCTCAGAGGGTCACACAGCCCTGTCCTACTCAGCCTTCCCAGAGCTTTCCCTGGGTACCTCCATCCATGGAAGTTTTCCTCCTGGTTCTCTGAATCCCCAGCTCAGGGAGCTTCTAATAACCCCACTTCCCTTTCATCCAGCTCCTGCCTTCTGACAAGCCCATGATCCCACTTCCCCTACCCAGCAAGAGGATCTAATATTTATAAACAAGATGCATCCTGAGTCCTGGCCCCATGCTTTCCCAACCATGAGGATGCTCAGTGAGCTCAGAGTATGAAAGCAGGAGAGGCTGCAGACAGCCACACATGGAAATCAGAGCTGGATCCTAAAGGTGACTCTATGCCATAGGGAACAGTTTAAAATACATTTAGCCCTTGAGAGAATGCAAAATAATAAAAATTATTTTTGAATATTTCTACAAAAAATGTATTAAAATTAAAGGCTTGAACAGAGGGTTCAACTTCAGTTACATGGTTTCTCCACATCTGTATGTCATACCTCATCTCCCTGATAAGATTGAATAAGTGGATTATGTCTAGGCTGATAGGGAGTAGACAGGGGAGTTGATATTATTGTGTTGGTGTTATCACCAAGGTCCTGAAACACCTTTGCTCAGAGTTACACATCTGAGGAAGAGTTATTAAAGAATTAAATTTTGGATTAAGAAAAAAGAACAACAAAGCTCATAGACACAGACAATAGTATGGTGATTACTAGAGGGAACAGAGGGTGTGTGGAGGTAGGAGAGGGTAAAGTGGGGAGAAATGGTGAAGGAAGGAGACTTGGCTTGGGGTGGTAAACACACAATACAATAGTATAATGTAGACATGATATATTATGGAACTGTATACCTGAAATAATATAATCTTATTAACCAATGTCATCTCAATAAATTCATTAAGAAAAATGTTTTTATAAATAGAATCAAAGTTCTTCTTGGTTTGTTAGTGAGCCCATGACCCAAAGTGGAGTCCTGCTAGGAGCTCTTTGGATCACATGACTGAGGCGCCAGGCTGAAGAGGGACATCTTACTTTCTCCCAACTTAAAATAAAATCCTGGGACTTTAGTACTTTCTGGCTGGCTGCATATGGTTGTCTATTTACAGATGATCCCTCTTCAACATGCAAGAAAGATAGATAGTCATAGCTGTCCCACAGAGTCAAATCCATTCCCACCTACTCCTCCAGCTTTATGGAAAAGTAAAGGGGGCAGTACTTATCACTGTTTCCCCTGACATGTCCCAATTGTCACATCCAAACACCATAACATCTAACCAAAGAGACATGCCTCTTTCATGCAAATCTTTCCACCAAATTTTTTCTGTGGTCCTCAGTAAAACTTCCTCCATGTGCTATTGGTCAGAGCCAGGTCAGCTACCCACCCTAAATCTAGCATTGGTGTAGTGAAGTGGGAAGGGAATACAATGAGGTAACTGCCAGCAAGATTGAAGGAAGCAATGGATTTGGGGTAGCAACCAACAACATCTGCAACAAAAACAACTATGTAAGTCATAATGGCTACTATTTATTGGCCATGTGTGTTGTGCTACGTACTGTGCTTAGTATGTTATATGTACTATTTCACTTCACTCAGAGCAGTCTTCCTGAGTCCCAGCTAGAACTGCAAGGGAAGTGGGACAGTTTATATAAAGACTCTTGGGGACCCAGGAGCATTGCCCCTCACAGGTGCATGGCTGTCAGGGGTTTCAATTGCATTAAAACTTTCATTTCAGCACTTTATTACAGGGAGCTGAGAACAGTCTAGGAATGCATGTTTTGCCTTTCCTAAGATTTGACTGTCAGTCAAGAAGGGAGCAGCAATGAGCAAAAAATAAAACTTTGTAGGGAAGTGACAGATGGAGCAGGAGTGCTCAGATCATAGAACACCACATACCAGGGACACACACACACACACACACACACACGCCAAAACCTTTGAAAACACAGCTTCCCGAGTGGTTAGGCCACAGGAGTAGCTCTACTAAGCCTCTGTGACTTGGCACTCTCCATACACATACCCAAAGGGGTGTTCTGTTCACATCCTAAACACTGGTGAGCACCACCATGTAACGTTTGCCATCGAGCCCTCTAAACCCCTCTCAAACTGAGAGCGGGACAGAGGAGAGGAAGATGAAAATGACAATAGTTAAGCAGAAGATCCAGCCCTCATTTTTCTTCCAAGTAAATGGAACTGTGCCGACACCCAGAGTTACTTGTGTCGTTTTGACTCATTTGCCAACACACTTACATAGTGGAATTAAGATTAGCATCCTTTCCACTTATTACATTGAAATCTCTGTAACTCCCATGCAATTTGGCACAGATATGAGAAACTGCAGTCAAAGAAAGTGTCGCTGGGTAAGATATGCAATCAAATGCTAAAGATAATCATTATTATTAGCATAATGCCAACTATCCATCATAAAATGAGAGAAGTAAAAAGCATGAAAATTACATCCTGAATCAAGTGTCTGTCTCTTTGATTAGACATTGTGAGAACAAGTTCACGCTAGAGCCTATGGTCCATCTTTGGAGGATGCCACTGATGGCAGCAAAGATATTAAGGTGATAGGATGCCCAGGTGGCTCTGCACAGAGCATTGAATATGCAGAACATTCTTTTCAATGACACAACATAAGTCAGTGTGAAAGGTATTAGCATGTGTTGAGATAAAAAAAAAAATTTACAAAGAAAAATATCTTTTGAAATTCAGTAATCCTTTGCCAGCTGCTAGGGTATTGTGATTGGCAAAACTTCAGCCAGCAATCACAGGTTCTTATAGAAAGTAGAGGGTAAGAGAAAAACTTAAAAAATGGTATTAATATGCATTTTTAAAAAAATATGTTTTAGTTGATTTAAGAGAGGAAGAGGGAGAGAGAAATAGAAACATCAATAATGAGAGAGAATCACTGATCAGCTGCCTTCTGCATGCCCTCTACTGGAGATTGAGCTCACAACCTAGGCATGTGCCCTGGACTAGAATGGAATCTGGGACCCTTTGGTCCACAGGCCAATGCTCTATCCACTGAGCTAAACAAGCTAAGGCTTTATATGCATCTTTAAGCTCAAAATGAACAGAAGTTCTAGAAAGTAGCCATGCTCCACATCAACCATAATTTGTAATGTAACTGGTTCTTTACTGTTCAGAGAACATGGCCATGGCTCTGTGCCCTGAAGAGACAGGAGTGCCACAAATTTGAAATTACGTGCATGTAACATCTCTGTAAAGTTTTAATAGCAGCCCTTCTGGCTTGAAATTGCATGCCTTTAGTATTCACATTCTTCTCAGTTTTTAATTTTGCAAGTCTCAGCAAAACACTTTTGTAACCCCTAGGCAAATTCACAAATTCTGGTACTGCCCAAGGACATATTTTCTGGGCTAATTCTCCTTTCCATAAATTGAAGGTTGGAACACAAATAGGCCTCATCCTATAGACTTCTCATGTAATTTATAGGATGGAGTAGCAGGATTTGTTGTCTTCTTTTGGGACTGTATTAATCAAGGTTCTTCAAAGAAATATAACCATAAAATATATATTATAGGAGATATAGGAATTGGCTCACATAATCATGGAAGACAAGAAGTCCTACAATCTGCTGTCTGCAAGCTAGAGAACCAAGAAAGCTGGT